CGTTAGGAACGGAGGTGAGAGCCGGGTCCTCGAGGGATGAGAGCGGCGAGCAGGAAGAGTCTCTCCACGAGAGCCCCGGCGTTGACAGCCCGCTGAAGCTGAGGGAAGACTGAGGGCGCTGCTGTTCAGCACATTCTGGAAGGTACGCGTCGTACCCCAATTGCGGGAATGTACTGCCTCCGAGCATTGGAGCATGCTTCGGCAACGGAAGGTTCGTCCACCGATCGTACCATTCTGCCTCGTCCTGTGAGGCGTAGAGCTGTTCTGGGAACCAGTGGACTGTAGAGGGGCCCAGCATGTTAGCGAGGAAGGGTGAGAGGGCGAACGAGCTGAGGACGTACCTGGGACGACTCTTGGATATATGCGCACACTTGTATCAAGTTCATCTGGTTTGACGATGTATTGATTGCGATGTCTGATGGGAGCAGGTACCATCTGGATCTCACGGGAGGAAGCCATGTTCGAGGGGCGGGAATGTGTTCGAACTGAGAATTGGACAGGCTGCTTATAACATACCGCTGCGCTAGCCTGGGCAGAGTGGCGCCAGGGTGATCGCAAGCTAAGGAGACCATTTTACGGGAGACGCACGCGGATCCGAATACACGAACTGCCTGGTGGCTGATACTTCCGGGCCCTGGAAAAAAGAAGACATGTGAGAATGTGTGCAGATTCGCCGCAGAGTGATATTGAGCGTCAGTGCCATATCTGGAGAGATCATGCCGGCACAACACCCAACACGGCCGTAGCACGGGCAAAGGACACAGTCATTATGGGCTCGCATTACATCAGGAAGGTCATTGGCGACGCTTGGGCTGTTGCACGCCCCTAGACAATACAAGAAGAGGTAGTTGCACAAAGAAGCACCTTCTTCGGAAATGAATCATCTCAAGGCATGAAAGCGATGCACACCGTAGACTCGTGGTCAACGGTTGGCAAAGGTCGACCTTTGTCTCCCTAGTGCCTGGCTATCCACGTCAACCACATGAGATCAACGCGGGAGTGGACTGCACCAGGACGACGGTGTTAGATCATAGAAACGTGTGGCCCATCAGCCGTCCAACACCTGCTGTTTTTGTTTTGTCCTTGGGCAGCCCGAATTGTACAGCAACTCTGGATCGGAAACGCATGATTTAGTGTAACGTTACAGGTGAAAAAATTAGCATCTGTAAGGCAAGACATGAGCATCGCATGAAGCCGCCAGCAGTCGGTGCTGGATATGCAGGGTGCATACGCGGCGAAGCGACTGCCCCAGAAATCCAGATATCACGGTGGCGCTTTCAGAGGCGCTTCGAAAATTTAGCTCAGGTCGCAGTAGCAACATCAGGGAGTGGACTCCCAAGCGCATGGCCGCCGCTTGATCGGCTTCCATTGTTTGTCAAAAAGCCACTCACGCAGATACGCTGTCACCCAGCGCATGTACATGTTCCCTGATGAACCCTGGTTGGCCGTTGGTTGACCGCTGCTCGATCCTTGGCAAATCGGTGCATTGGACAACCGTAGTCCAACACATGTTTGACGGTGCGCCGACGCTGGAAGTCACGTTGGCAATGATGGACAACGAAAATTACAGCACCCAGCGATTGCAACACGGAAGAAGCCCAACTGCGTAATGCACACGCAAGGTGGATACGCTGCAGGCCCTTCCTTGAGGTCTAGTAGCATACATTCAGGCTGTAGCCGGTACGATTACGAGTTGGACATTGGCAACTCACATATAGCACAGCCTCCATAGCCAACGACACACGCTCACTGTCATGCGCCGACGGTCGACCGTTGTCCGAAGCCTACCGTTGTCCGATGTTAGAAGGACAACCTTGGGAAGAAGGCAGCCATGTCAGATGGTCACTGATACGCCGATGTCGGCCATTCATTGTATCTGCGACTCGTCCAGGGTCAACGCGGATGGCCGCCCTCTATCTCTTCTGCTTAACATGATGTTGATGGTCGGTCAACCTATCTGCGATGAGGTAATGCTGAGAAAACCGGGCCCCTTTCATGACCATACTTTGCCACGCGCAGCTGTTTTTCTGGGAGTGTTCCAAGGGTCCAATGATAGAGGAATAGCCAACTACATGTCCGACCAACCTACGACTTCCGCAGCAGTGAGTCATTTGGGACCTTACGAATATCCAAGTAGACCCAGACGTACAGCAACCATTAAGCAAGTGGTCGTAATCAACCTCATAGATGGTAAGGATCTTCTTTTAATTTGCACGCTTCATCTTCCCATCTAGTCACGGGCGAAGTGGCTGTACTGCAGAAGCGCCGGTGTCGCGCTCATTAAAGCGGCAGACACGCGTTTGAGCGTTACTAGACTCTACCATATCTATCACACTTAGATGCAGTCAGCGTTCTCCGAGCGTTGCTGGGGGTGAGGTGGCGACTAGTATGCAAAGATGATCTGTAAAAGCGAAAGGGTCCCATGCCGGTATCAGTTAAATTAGAGGACGGAACGAGAGGCGATGTCAGGGCACAGCGTACGGCGGACCGTGTGCGATGTTATTACGGCTGAGAGAGCAGCGATAGACATTATGACAATGAGCCTGACTCCGAACGATCCTCATCCCTCCTGAAAGAAACCTGCGACTGTGAACAAAAAGGTGTAACTCCGATGTGAACGAGTAGCGCATCGTGTTGTGACGTAACGATCCGCGACGGCGCCGCGATTATAACTTCACTCAGCGACGACGAGCCCTCCCATAGCCCTCTGCATATCGCCTACACCGTTGGCTGCGCCGTTGATGATACGCGGGCCAAGAGCAGGGTGCCGCACGCCCATAGCTGCGCCGAGCATGCGCTTTGCAGGGTCGCCGATGCGCGGAGCGCTGTGCTCTGGCTGCGCAGCAAGGACAGCGGGGTCCACTGCAGAGGGGTCTTCGACGTCTCCGAGGGAGGAAGAGATTAAGGAATTGAGCGTAGGGTGGGACGGAAGGCTGGGGAGAGTGGGGGATGGTTGGTCGCGTTCGCGGGCAGCGTCTACGTTGGCATTGCCGTTGGACTGGCCGTTGTTGCGAAAGGAATGGCTGACGGACACGTTCCGACCGTGCGAGACAGAGTTGCGGACATTGTGACCACGGCCATTGCTGGTGTGCTGGCGTGCATTCACGGTTTGGATTACGGACTGCGCATCAGGTCCGTCATATGGTTTGATGATTGCCGTATTGGCGGAAGTCGGGGAGGAAAAAATGGCAGGAGGGTACGCCAAGGTGTGGAGATAGGCACGTTTAGCTGAGAATGAGTAAGAGCGCGGTCAGTTATCAATATAGGGGGTGTGGATGAACATGGCACAAGACCAACAAGCTGAGCTCGGGACCACGAAAATAAGAACACTCACCAACTGTAGCGTCAACAAAGACGATGAGTAGACTCGTGTCATCTATCCACTTGATCTTGAAACCACCGCTCGCGTTCTCCCATTCTGCGAACGCCGCCTGAATATCCCTCGTCTTAAGCTCCTTGGGGAAACCGGTCAGGGCAAGAATTCGAGTGACACAGGCGGAGAGCTGAGAGAGTGAAGATGCCATGCCTGTCTGTCTGTCGTGGGTCGGCTGCTGGTGTTCGTGAGGGGGATGCTCGGAAGAGCTGGTGAAGCGAAGTATTGACGTTAAGGAGAAGAGTATATGTATGAAATAAAGACCTGGGGTCGATTTCCTGAGAATGAAGGGAGTGAGATGTCTGTGTTGTACAGGAGGCAGATGAGGGCACACAACGTCGAAGGCAGAGACTGTCCTCTCCTTCGAAACGCAATCATAGCCTGCGGCGCTAATACTAATACGCGTGTGACACACCTCCGCAAATGGAAACCGTCCTAGAACGACCAGGGACGTTTCGTTCAAGACAGGTTGGAAGACTGAGAAAAGATATGCTGTTCAAAATGTCGAGGGCAGTGTTCGCTGTACGGTGAAATTTTTGCTCGTTCGCTTGCCAACCCGCCTTCGCATCACTGCAGCTCTCGGTTGGTAGCCTATCGTCACGCTCGTCACACCTCCTTCTCGTCACGGCTGCGTGCAGCTGGCCGTTCATCGCCCAACTTGTCCTCAGACCACCAGTCGAATTCGCCAAACTGCATCCATTCACTATGTATCATGATGTGGAGGGCGACCTCATTCGCGCCTACCAGCTCCTCATGGAATTGAGCGAGCAAAATGGCCGCAATCACGAGATGTCGGGCGGCTTGCATGGGCTCACGGACACCCTCAAAGTAAATCTCTACGCCTTCCTGTCTTTGGCCCGCTCAAACCCGTCTGAATCAAAGTCTGCATGATAGACACAGGCCAAGGATCTCGCGGTTGGGTTTACGCTCCGGAGGGTGAACACGGATATTTCAAAAGGTGCGCCCAATACCCAACGCAGGAAACGAAGGTTTGACAGAATCTTACAGAAGTGTTTGAGTCTGAGCTCGAACGCCAAAATGCCCAGATCATTATCGAGAACCATCAACTCTTGCAGGAGAACCGACAACTAAACGGCTTGCTCAAAGAGTATGAGCAGACGATGGAGACTATCATGATCAAGTTTCGCAGCCACGCGGTACGCTTGCGATCACGCGTGTCCATATCCATTTTTCTGACTCTGCGCGTACAGCTCGCAGCCCAGCAGCACGAGCTTACTCTAACTAAGCACTACGAGAACCTTCTTCTCGCCCGCGAGTCCGCGCAAATGCAAGCAGACCTATCATCGAACACTGCTGTCGCTACCTCGCTTCAACGTCTCTCAGAGAACCTTCACGCACTTCTGCACTCTATGGCAGGCGAGGGTCCGGCGGACACGCACAAGGACGGCGAGACACGCTCGCCCGAGGAAGAGCAGGAGCTGCTCGAGCAGCTGCTTGACAGCCGGGAAGACTGGGCGATGGAGCGCGAGGCCGAGATCGCACGGCTCGAGCAGGAGAACGAGGAGCTCCGGAAGCTGCTCGGCATCGACCGCGCGAACGTCGAGGCGAAAGGCTGGCTCGAGGAGGAGGCGCGCGAGCTCACCGTGTCGCAGTACGTCCCCATCGTCCGCCAGCCCCGCGAGCCGAGCCCACAGCAGGAGGAGCGGCCTGTACCAGGCATCTCACCGTTCATCAACATCACCAGCGGTCCTCCTGGTCCGCCGCGGATGCAGGAGGGGCGGATGCAGGATGGGCGGATGCAGGATGGGCGGATGCAGGAGGGGCCTGGGATGCGCATGACGCAGGGACGGAGGCCGGCGATGTTTGGGCAACGCGGGCGTGGCGGCGGACCAGCATTGTGGGAGGGTGCGGCGCACCCGCCACCGCCACAAGAGCGGTCGTGGCAGGCGCAAGCTGGGCTAGACTTAAGCTGAGCGTTGTCGCTGGTTCTATATCTATTTCCTATGGGTGTGTATTATGATAATCTGTGTAACTGTGATCAGACACGCGGCATTGCATGAGTTTGAACCCACTAGCGATGGAAAAGGCATCAATGTGGTCGACCCCGGGTCCGCGGGTTGCATCCTTACACAGGCCTCTGGTCATGAGTTAAGTAGTATTGTCACGTTCATCGCGTTGACTCAGGAAGCGGCGGTGCACATGAGGATGACTGGGCTACGAGTTGCGCAATCTGTGCAGGGCGTGGAAAGCAATATACGAGTGGCTAATTCAGATTCTAATTGAATCCTTGATTGACTAGCCTTCCAAGGTCCTGCATATATGCGCTCAATGACCGACTTCAATACAGTGGGCCCTAGAAGGTCTTAATGAAACAGCTGACATCGAGGGGTCTTGTGCCACGGGAGCTCGCGTGAAGACACAGCATCGACCTCTGCTGGCTAGAACCCCATTGACTCGACGGTCGCGATCGGCCAGGCCAAAGCGTGGGCACCCGAGCCTCGAATCTGCATCAGCGATCCTGTGGCTATATCTGCGTGCTGTCAGTCAGCCAGCTCGGTACAGGCAAGGACGAGGCAAGGACACGAATGTACCGCGGAACTGCGTACTAGATATAGACCGCAAGATTATCGATCTGGCCAGCACTCATCGAC